TCTGTTTCTTTGTTACCAATGTTGTGGCCTCACCCCATAACAAAGAAACAGAATTTCTGGAGGATGCTCTAGGAGTTTGTAGTCTATAGGTGAGCCACTGCCTCGTGTGCCATTTCGAGAAAAGCTTCCCCCTGTCTGCTTCCTAAGACTTATTTCCTTTACTACCATTGCTGCTGGAACCATCCCTGCCCTCCCAGGTACAATGAGGCCCTTTTTTCATCCTCAAGTACTACAGCCACAAGCTTCTTTGTTGGTTCTTGCTCCTGTGTATCCTTCTGTTCCCTTGGGCACCAGCCAGGGAGTCACCTGGAATTGTGTTAAACTGTTAATCCCTGGGCCCACTACAGACCTACTCAAGAGTCACTGGAGTGGTAATACACTTATCAATTGATTCTTAAGTACACTATACCTGGATGCTAAAAGCCCTTGGATCTAATTGCCACGTAGGGCCAAGACTCCTGCAGGCCAGGAGTTTGTTACTGCAGCACAAACTAGCTTGCACTGACTAACACACTATACTAAACAATGCATGGTGATGGCCATATGTTTGTATAGAGTACTCTTCTCCCTTCCCACCGGCCTCCACCTCAGTTATTCACTCACCTTCCTTTTTATGAGAGGAGCAAACCCCCTTCTTCAGTCCAGATCACTCCTCTTTCCCCAGCAACACCTTTCATCCCCCTTTCTCCAAACATACCCCACCACACTTAGCAGATTGAGGCCTTTTCCCATATTTTCATTTGTTTATTTTTCTACAACTATATTTCATAATATTTATTTCAGAAGGCAGGGAACTCTTTGTACAAACAGACTTCCATTTGCAGCCAGCTCCTTCATAAAATAAACAATTGTAAGCATTTTTAGAGGGGGACACATTAAATCTCAGTTTTAAAGGAACCTAAGGGAGTTTGTTATTTAAAATGATCATGTTAAATCATTTGTGAAATAAATAATCTCTCTCCCTGCTTGCATAGACAATTAATCTATCTTTTAAAAATTTTCATAAACACAGGATGTGTGTGCATGCGTGTGTATGTTTGAGTGTGTATCTGTATCTGGTATAGTCTAATGTGAGAGCATCAGTAAAGTGCCTAATAGAGTGAAATGGGTGATTAGCTTCTACTTAAAGGGCTTTTTTCCTTCCACTGATGATGGCAAGAGGGCAGGAAAAATGATTAACAGGTTAGAAGCAGACTGTGAGGAAAGACTAAAGGAATTATGGATATTTGCCTGGAGCCAGAAGGCTGATATGTAGTTAATTACAGTCTTCAAGTTAATGAAGCAATATTTTATGGGTGATAGGGAGCAACTGTGTTTTTTTATTCCAAGAACAAGAAGACCTTATGTTACAAAAGACAGACTGGATTCAAAGTAAGAATTTTGAATGGAGAAGTTTGAGGATGGAGAACTCAGCCCTGAGGGAGATCATGGAATAACTCTCTGCGTGTTTAATAGTAAATAAGCACCTTCACGTGGGGCTTCATGACACTCAACATACACAGCAAACACTGAGTATGTTACAATCTCTGTGCCTTTTCTCCTTCTGTCCTCCCAGCTGACATTCCCTCCTTCTTTCCATCTATTTGTCCAAACCCTTCTTGTCTTTTCACCCCTAGCTTATTATAAAGTGTTCCTTCTCCACAGCTCACTCTCACCTCTTGACTTTCACCATACATTCTTTTGTTAGAGTGCACTAATTAAGATGAGCTAATTTTTCTAATTTAAGCCACTTCCAAATGTCAGTGGCTTAAAAGATAAGAGCTCATTTTTTTATTCACATGAAGTCTGCTTGAGAGTTTGTCAACTCTCCCAAGCAGTCCATGTTAAGCAGTGACTTGGGGATTCTGGCTCTTTCCTTTTTGTGGACTTATGTGAGGGGTGTGGCAGGGGAAAAGTGTGATGGGTAGTCCCAGGTTAACTCCTAACCAGGGGTCCTCAAACTACGGCCCGCGGGCCACATGCGGCCCTCCGAAAACATTTATCAGGCCCACCGGGTGTTTTTTCCGCCGCTGTGTGCATAGGAATTTGTTCATAGTTTTTTTTTAAAACTATAGTCCGGCCCTCCAACGGTCTGAGGGACAGTGAACTGGCCCCCTGTTTAAAAAGTTTGAGGACCCCTGTTCCAGGGGCTGCAGACCACACTTTGAGAATTCCTAGTCGAGAGGAACCTTGGCCGACCTGGCTGGTCTCCCCCAGCTGCCATGGCCTTTTGAACGTTTCCACTAGGGATGAATTATGGGGCCATAGTTAGTCATGTGGGTTCTGGAGGCAGACTACCTACCTGAGCTTGAATCTCAATTTTACCGCTCACACGCTGTGTGACCTTGGGCAAATTATTAACATCTCTGTGCTTCCGTTTCCTCATCTATGAACTAGGGCTTTAAAAAAGTGCCTGCTTTGTAGAGTTGCTGAGAACTAAATGACAGAACACTAGAAAAGGGCTTAGCATAGTGCGGAATAATGTTAGTTCTTATTCAACTCTTACCCCTGAGTCCCCTGCCCATTGGCCCAGAGAGCAGGGAGCTACAGAGGTGATTTTTTCCTACATTCCAGATGGGGCTTCTTGGCCCAGAGAGGGAACGTACCTGTGCCAGGTCCCAGGGACAGTCACCAGGATTGTTGGGCCCTGAACCCCGAGTTCTAACTCCAAGCCCTGTGCTCTTCCACCAGACTTTTCCAGGGAGTAGGGGGGAACCCCAGGTCCTGAGACGGGGAAAGAAGCAGACCTTACCTTTCCCCCAGCAATTCAGGTGAGCCAGTCAGGGCCCATGGGAAGAGAGCAGGGAGCCTTGAGGGCAGAGAGCAGGAGGACTTCCTGACATCCCAGCAACCTACAGAGGAGAGAGCCGGACAAGCTTAGCCCAGAGATCTTGCTGGTTCACCTTGTGGGGAACAGTTCTGTGAAGTGGCCTCGCCCTCTCTCCTGGGGTCACTGGCCCTAGGGACAGGGTGTCTGTGACTGGGCAATACTACCTCTCCTATGGTGCCCCCAGCCCCTCCAGGGCATCGTCTGCTCTCAGCGGTCCCCTCTCCAGACCCCATTCTTTCCCAGGCTCCCCTGGCCTGGCCCTCAGTGCTGAGGCACCACAGAGCAGGCACTGCACCGGGGAAAGACAGCTGGTGGGGCTGGGGTGATCTTGGGGTGCAGAGGGGCGGGAGTCCCGGGCAGAAGAGGAGCCTCTCCCACAGCGGGGGTGGGGGGGTGGGGAAGGGGTTGAGGCAGATGGGGAGACAGACAGATATACACTGAGGAAGAGCTAGTCCTGGCTCTTGGGCCTTAAGCTGGGCTGCAGGCACCCCACCTTCCTTAGAAGCCCAGGACCCCCTCCCCGCCCCCACGCACACACTTTCTGGAGGCTCCGCTCCCACCCGAAGCCCCCAAGCTGACAACTCTGAGACGTGGCGGGCTGAGGTTTGAGGTCTTGCTGTCTGCTGCTCCGTTCTTCTCCTGCCCACAGAATTCCCTTGAATAAAGGGTAAAATTGAGGCAGAAAGTGGGTGGCCTCAGATGCCCACTGCTTCTCTCCGGGACCTGCCTGGAACCAAGGGGCCTCCCACGGCCCTCCCCCATCCCACCAGTCCCCGTAGCTTTTTCCACTTGGAAAATCCTTTCTGGCGAGTGGCAGGTTTGGGGACTCTGGTCCAGTCTCCCTGCCCTGTCTCCTGGGTAGTGCCTGCCCCCCCAACCCCCCAACCCCTGTGGGCTAAGATCAGTTCAGTCTCAGCCCTGCCCCACCCCCTGCCTCCCCTGGCGTGGCCAGCAGCCCCCTACCTCCCGCCCTGGGCTGTGGGACAGGGAGAGGACTGAGGGGCTGGCTCTGCATACTAATGTCCTGCCCATTGTCAAAGCCCCTTTGTGCCAGAGAGCTCCATTGAGGCGGCTCAGGGGCGGGCACAATGGGGGCTCTGTCCCCAAGTTCCCCCGAACAGTCACCTGCTTTCAGAGCCTCCCTCCACACCACCCCCCACACGCCCCAGTGTCCGGAGGGCCCAGAGAGCCTGGGGGAGTGGGCCCAGGGCTGGGTGGGGGGAAGGGTAGGAAGTCCCCACCCCCACCCCCAGGCTGGGGAAATGGGCACTTGGAGGGGAGAGGCCCAGCTGGCAGGGCAAGGGCAGCTTGTGGATGGAGTTGAAACGCAGGTTCTGTGCAGCCAGCGGAGAGGAGGAGAAGGGACACAGCCTGCCTGCTCCTTGGTTCGTCGTGCCCAGCTGGGCCTGGCTGCTACCTCTCCCCCTCCACCCACCGCAGGACTCATATATGCAGAGGCACACAGGCACACACTCATCTATGCAGCCCCACACATGGCATGGGCAGGGGGGGCGGAGGGGGGGGGCGAAATGCCCAGACACAGCAGCTGCCCCAGGCCCACAGATCTGCATGCCCGCCACCATTCACTCGCAGATGCCCCTACACCTCCCCACCCCTCCTCTCCCCCTGCACCCCCTCCACCAGCCTCAGCCAGCTCAGCACCTCTCCGCCCTCCCTTCATGCCCTCTCTGGCCCCTGCTGCTCCAACACAGGTTATAACAAGTTTGCACTTGTTGTGACCTCAAGAATGTGGCCCTGGGGCGGGGAATGTCCGGCTGCCCCAAACCCACTTGCTTATTCGTTAACCACAG